GTGGCCCTTGGTGTGCAGCCTCCTGGTTGTGGCCCTTGGTGTGCAGCTGGTTCTGGAGGCTTGGTGTCATGTGCGTGTTGGCCCCTCCTCTCAGGTCTCGCAGGTTTTGCTGCTGAGTTTTGAAGCGCCGCAGCTCGGAGAGCGCACCGCACCGCGCGCACTTCGGTAAGTCAGATTTCTAAACTTATTCTCATTTTGTCACATTAATCCCCCCCCCCCCTCCCCTCCACCCCCCGGCCAAGTTCTCGGTGGCGGCTGTGGGTGAAATCTGTGTCTGTGTGTGAGACTCTGGTCCACTCCGCGCGGTGGGACTACTTTATGTCTCTCCTTGTGTCTCCGGTTAGATGACAGCGAGAGGAAGAGAGAGCGAGCTGTCTGTGTGCGCGTCTGAAGAGCTGAGGACAAGAGTCTGATCTGAGCCCCCCCGTGACAAGAAATGAAGCTCCTGTAAGAGTCTGTGTTCTTCGCAGACTCGCACTCTGCGCAGTTTTTTGTTTCTGGCGCAGCGTCAGAGCGCACTTTGCCTGGCAGACCCCCCCTCACTAAAGTCCAACATTTGTTTCTCCCTGCAGGATCTGGGTCCTGGCGGTGGTCCTGCTGCTGAGACCTGCGCACGGAGTAAGTCCTGTTTGTTTACTCCTCTCTCCTGCACGTGAAGCTTTATTTATCCTCCGTGCTGAACATGATAAACACAAGCTCTGTGTTCACATGGGACGTCCATTTGTCCCGAATTGCCCTCCCCCCCCATAACACCATGAAAGCTGCGATTTGAACTTTTAGCTGTGCGCATCACGTGTTTCTTCCTTTACGCTCGTGCAGCCCCATCACTTGTGTTTGTGTGTGCAGCTCTTATTTTGACTTTTAACTTTACATATAATCCCACATGTGGCCATTTCCCTCCCCATTTGTGCCAAATGTTCAGTGAACTGTGCGCGCCCCCACTTTGAACCCCACCTGGACAGAAGTGTGGGTTTAAATGTGGCCGGAGGCGCTGCTGAGGAGGACCTGCTCATGAGCAAGGCAGGCCACGCCCTGCTCATGAATATGGAAGATTAGAGGAATATTAGAGGAGCTGCTGCTGGATTTGTTTTTATTTATTGCTAAATGTCTGTATTTTTATATTAACTATTTAAATAAGTTATTTCTATTCAATAAGTCCTAAACAATCAAAACATTAAATAAATAGTTGAGTGAGAAATATGTCCGTGCACATTAAAACAAAGGTTATGTTGCCGCTCGGTTTGTTAATAAGTCAGAAGAAATGTTCAGATCCTTTGATGTAGGGTTCCATGAGCTTGAAAGCAATTAATATCTTACCTGTTGTCAGTTGTGATCCGTCCCTCTGCATACTTTTCCTCAAATCTTAAGCCACGCCCACTCACACCTGCTCCCTGTCCATTCATCCACCCTGCGTCCTTCCTCTCGTCGCTTTGCCGTCGTGTTGTGACGCCACATCTGCTCGTCTTCTTTGTTTTGGTTGTAAAGAGTTTGCAGCCATGTCAACTTTTTGTTTTTGACTAAAAAAGTAATTTCTTTAGTTTTATTCTACGTGAGCTCCGTGTGTGTCCGTCCTCATTTCCTGTGTTTACAACAGCCAAACCTGCATTTGTTCCGTCGTTTTTTGAACGCCTCAGTTTGGTTGTTCGGTTGTTCTCAGAAGTCAGAATTTCTAAGACAAAAAATATATATCAACCGGTCCCCCCCCCCCCCCCCCAAAAAAAAAACATTTCATTTGAGTTAATTTTTTAAGAAGGATAGTGCACATTAGTTAATATTTCTGTATTACACAATATTATGAGTGTGCTGGAATTTGTTTTATAGCTTTTTCTTTCGACTCAGCATAAGAGAAGCAGAGCACTACCTCTGTAGCTTTTTAACTAACACACCTATTTTGTGCAGCACTAGCTTAGTGCTACATCAGTTACGGTAGTTGTTGGGGGTGGGGGGGACAGTTTGGTAGGCAGGGTGCTCATTTCGGTTGACATGGTGGGGTGCCCTCCTTGTATAATGGTATGGCATGGTATGGATTGTTATGGTATGATTTGGTATGGTTTTGTATGGTATGTTTAGAATGGTATGGTATGGTATGGTATGGAATGGTATGGTGTGGTATGGTAGGGTATGGTATGTTTGTAATGGTATGGTATGGTGTGATATGGTATGGTATGATACGGTATGGTATGATATAGTATGGTATGATATGGTATGGTATGGTATGGTATGATACGGTATGGTATGGTATGATATGGTATGGTATGGTATGATATGGTATGGTATGATACGGTATGGTATGGTATGATATGGTATGGTATGATATGGTATGATACGGTATGGTATGGTATGGTATGATATGGTATGGTGTGATATGGTATGATACGGTATGGTATGATGTAGTATGATATGATATGGTATGGTATGGTATGATACGGTATGGTATGTTATGGTATGATATGGTATGGTATGGTATGGTATGGTATGGTATGGTATGATATGGTATGGTATGGTATGGTATGATATGGTATGGTAGGGTATGGTATGTTTGGAATGGTATGGTATGGTATGATATGATGTGATATGATATGGTATGGTAGGGTATGGTATGTTTGGAATGGTGTGGTATGGTATGGTATGGTATGATATGGTATGGTAGGGTATGGTATGTTTGGAATGGTATGGTATGGTATGGTATGGTATGATATGATATGATATGATATGGTATGGTAGGGTATGGTATGTTTGGAATGGTGTGGTATGGTATGATTTGGTTTGGTATGATTTGGTATAGTACATCTGGTATAGATCTGGCTACAATCCAGACATTAGCCACAGCCAGGCTATATTTCTTTTTATTTTGCATGTCTGAATAAACGGTAAATGAATAAGACTTTTATTCGCCAATACGATGCTTCGTAAATCTTTCCTCAATACACGGGAACTCAGATGAATTCGAAGTCATCAGTTTCCCATTAATCTCTGATGAAGATGAAGACGGCTGGTCGTTCATCTTGACGGGACTCTGACTGACAAACATACAGACTCCACAGTTTAATATTATTTACAACACACATCTACATTTGAGTGAAGGATAATACAATTTACTGGTTTGTCACAGTTATGAGAGGATGAACCCAAGAATGACGACTGAACACAGAGTTTAAAAGGTAAAACTCAACTTTTAATAAAAAAAAAAAAAAACTTAAACTAAAAGGCTGACGTGACAGCACAGGAAACACTGGAGGTAGCACGAATGCTAACAATGCTCGACTAACAAACAGACAGAACATGTGGACAGGGGTTCATGAGGAAGAGGAGACACCTGGGCTAAATGAAAACAGAGAACAGGTGCGAGTGAACGGAGCTGGAGCAGAGGGACTGAAGTGACCGATGGTGGCACAGAGGAACAGAATGAAACATAAAATACACCAAATGAACAAAATAAGAGGGAAAGCCCAACAAACGACTCCCAAAACCCAATTAAACACCGATCCTGACGGAATTGTGTTTTCAAAATGTCAAGTGGGTTTTACTTAAAAAGAAAAGTCTTAAACAACGTTCATTTCTGTCGATGGTGAAAAGACGATTGATTTTCTCACGTTTCGACCAACAACAGTGCTTCTCTTCAGCAGATGATTGACAGGAAACACTCCAGGGATAGAAAGCTTCCCTGTTGTTTTGTGTTGCACATGTGTGGGTGAATGGCTGATTAGTACTTTGGGTGGTCTGGGCTTCGTACCCATGGGGTACTTTGTTTTTCTGCAGATTGATGCTGTTCAGCTCAGAGGTCTGTGTTTTTTTTTTTCTGTCCTTCTGAGGCGACTGTGCACGGCGAGGGAGAATATTGTGCTCATCAGGTGCTGAGTCACTTGTTTATCTTGAGCTGAAAATGTCACCGAGCAGCAGATAAGAAATGTGCACAACTTCAAGTAGGTACAAACGGTTTGCTTTGTGCCGTTAAAATGTTCCTCTGAACTGTCATTGGCTTAAACCCAAACATAAACACAAAGTTCATCTAAAAGGGTCTTGTCCAGTTAGTCTCAGTCAATGCTGCTAATTTGATGAATGGACATAGATTTTAGATACAGCACAGGTGCTTGTCTTCTAGTGGTTCAGTGCTCTTTGTTAGCATGACTGTCTTGGCAAACATTAGCGTTCCAGATGTTTCTGTAGTGCATGCACACAAAAACTATTTGCATGTTTTTATTACCATTGTTGTCATATCTTTTTCTATGTCGTGTTGACGTTAATCATTTGTGCAGACACATTTCTGTAGCTGACATTGTTGAAAATGTTGGATCGGTGATGCAGCTGTCAGGTGTAGTGAGGAAGAAGAAACAAAACACTCAGAAGGACTCAAAGGTAAAAATAAAGAAACTACTTTATTAAAACAAGAAAACAAA